TGTGATTTTCTCCTGGATGGGATCAAATGGAAGGTTTCTGACTGATCGGGTATGTATTGTGCCAGTGATTGATGTGTCGTAGAATTTCGGCACATTTGATACCAATTACTTAGATTTTAACTCGTCTTTTAATGCATTTTTAGTTAATTCTGATCAAGTTTGATTGTTTTGTAGTGCATGAGCTTGAAGACCCGAAAACATGAAAAAGAAGTCAAAATGTCACAAAAGAAGGGAAATGCTACAAGTATACGACCGCATAATGCACATGCGGATCGCATAACTCAGAGGTTGATCGCAAAATGAAACAGACTTATTGGCCAAATGAAGCGAAGGATATGAGGTCCATTATGCTATCGCATAACACCTTTGCGAGCCGCATAATCCCAGTAGAAGAAGCTGCTCAACATGATTTGCGATGGCATATGCGGTCGCATAACACACATGCGGACCGCATAATCGATATGCGGCGGAAGCTGGAACTGGTGATTTATTAAGTCTGCGATGAGAATGAAGAATATGCGGACCGCATACGTGGTCTGCGACCATTATGCGGTCGCATAAGCTGTCTGAAGGGGCATTTTTGTCCGATTTTGACCACGACTTTTGGTCCGCTATAAAAAGAATAACTAGGGTTTTTGTGGGTCATTCAAGTCTGAAAAAGACCCTACATAGAGAGCATTAAATACTCCATTAATTTGGAAGCTTGTGAAGAAGTAATCTTGCACTTTTGTAAGCTTTATGATTTTATCAAATACTTTGTTCTTATATTTTAGCATGAGTAGCTAGTTTTAAATACTAAGGTTGTGGACCCTAGATGGGTGTAATGTTAATGGGTGTTTAACATTGAATATATATATATATATATATATATATATATATATATATATATATATATATATATATATATATATATATATATATAATGGTTGGTTGATATTTATTCAATTCTTGTTCTTTATTTATGGTTGGTGGTTGCAAATATTAATCTATTCCATTTTACTCTTTCTTTGCTTGGGAAAGTGAGTTAGGGTTTGGCAGAATTGAATCAAGAACTCAAGACTTTAAATCTTGTTTAATAGAATCGCTTAGGAATAAGTGGGTTATACTTGGCATAAATTGGTTATATTTGGAAAAATCACAAAGTGAAAATACTACCCAACCATTGGAAAATATTGGGTAGTCATTTAGAAATCATTTGCATATCAAAGGACCTTCCATTAGAAATATATCATATTAACACCGATAGCATTACATTCCATTGACGGGGACATAACCTTGGTTTCCTTAATCAAATTATTTACATTCTCATAACACAATTAGTTATCTCCTTAATTCACAACTATATCATTCTCTTGTTACGTTAAAGGAATGGAATTACGACCTAAGTCAAGTTTCACACTACTCAAGCAAACTTTTCACACCATATTCCCCGTGGGATTCGACCCCAACCTTGTTGGGTTATTGTATATGACACCGACCGCCTTACACTATTTAATTAAAGTGTAATTTGAGCGTATCAGGTTTTAACGACGCATCTTATGTATTAATAATATCCAAAGGGGGAGTGTTATGAATACACTATATGGTGAATGTCTATTATTGCTCTTACAACTTTCTAAAGAAGTTTGTGATCAAGCAAACAGCTTGCAAGTAGCTCATGTGGGCAGCTTGCAAGCAACTTCATGTAAGCCTTCCAGCAGTTTCCTAAAGCAATCAGCTTGGAAGTACCTTATGCCGACAGCTTACAAGTAGTTCATGCAAGCAGCTTCCTGGAAAGCCTCACAACAGCTTCATTTCTTCTATAAATAGGAAGCCAAAACATTTCATTTTGTACATCGAAGAGAAATAAACTACGTCTCTTGTCTTGCATTTCTATTATCTTATAACACCTTATACTTCAAATTTATATTCTTTTAGGTGAAAAAAAGATATCCTTTTTTTTCAAACACATGATCTCCGCTAAACTACCATCTTGCTCTTTCCTTGGTTAAACCAAGCTCCGGTGGTAATCTAATCGAATACCTAGAGTTTAGGCCCTGAAATCATGCATAAAAGATCATCTCTTTATTGATTTAACAAACCTCGTAATATATCTTGCAAGTTGCAACTCTTAAACCAGTCTCCGCTCATTGAGGGGGAAAGCCGAAATTTTTGCCTGTTCTTGGATAACCACCTGAGTGATTATTGAGGACCGTTGCAAATATTTCTGCTGCTTGATGTTAATGCTATACTTCTAATACATTACTCGCCCTATATTTTGTTGGTTTAGTGATTAATTATGCGATATTTGAGCTAAATTATGTTATTTTATGTGTAGGAGCATCAGAAGAAAGAGTCGACTGAAAGTTGCACGAAAAGAGGACGAAAATGCAAAGAAAAAAGCACAAAAACACCAAGTACCCAAGCCTGGCTAAAGGCCAAGCGTAGCCAGCTCTATAGCCAGTTTTACCATGCTACAGGCCAAGCATAGCCAGCTCTATAGCTAGCTTGACCGCGCTACAGGCCAGATATAGCCTGCTCTGTAGCCAGGCTGACCGCGTTATAAGTCTGGCCTCGTGAGGTCTATAGCCCAGTGATCAAAAGCGCGTGAATTAAAAGACTCCGACCCGGAGTTGGACTCAAGGACCACGACCCTAACATATAAATACTCCCTAAACGACTTAAGAAAGGGTTGGACATTATTTTGGAGAAGAAAAAGGCTACAGAGCACTATGGAGCGAGAATCAAATCAGTTTTCCCTTTGTTTCTCTTTACTTTGTAGTTTAATATCTTTGAACGTCATGATGATTGTTTATACAATTATGAGTGTCTAAACTCTCTCATCTAGGGTTTGATGAAACCTATTGAAGGATGATTTTCCACTACGTTTAATATAAATTTGTCGTTGATGTTTCTCTACTTGTTCAACTATATTTTCGTTGTTGTTGATTGAAGAGTTCTTAATTAACTATGCATATTTAGTGTGTATTGCTCGAGAGTACGCATTTAGATAGTTGATGAACAACATCACTCCTAACGTATTTGAGAAATCAATACGGAGGGTTTAAAGGCGGGATTAGAAATAACAAAACCTTAGTGCAATCTTAGTGAGCAGTAAATTAGTGTCAACTAGCGTAGTTTGAGAGAATATGTCTAGTAAATTGTGGTAGTTGCTTGAGAGAGAATTACGACACCCAAAGTACTCACGGTTGGTAGAGAATACTTAGGCGAATTTATAGAAAACATAATGGAGGAGATTCCGATAATTGGGAAAATCAAAATCCTAGATTTTTCCAATCTTATCTACAACATTTGCTCTGTTAGTTAAAAATTACTGCATTTTAATTACTTTGCCCTTAGTTAGTAAACACTCAAACAATTATGTAATATTTCTGAAGGTTGATTACTTGAATTCTTGCGAAACTAGTGGTTGTGATTAGTAGGTTAATTCTATGTGGGATTGACTCCAGACTTGTAAATCGGATTATATTTGTAACAACCGCTAGACCTCTTAGGAGGCATAGTTGGGCGTGATCAAATTTTGGCACCGTTGCCGGGGACTTAGCAGTGTAGTTGTAGCTGTATATATTGCTAGGTTCCAAGTTTGAGCTTTTATTTTGTTTTGTTTTGTTTTGTTTTGTTTTTTTATTTTATTCTATTCTATTCTATTCTATTTGTTGATTTGAGAAACATGACATCTTGGAATTATGGTAGTTTAGGTGTTGGTGATTCTATTTTTGATCCTCATACATATTGTGAAGAAAATCACTTGTGGCAAAATTATCGAAACGTTCTCGAGAGCGAGTTATGTGCACCAACTCAATCTTATTTGTGGAATATGTGTGATGTGTGTGGTGGTCAAGATGGTCACTTTCATGGTTATGTTTATATTTCTTATCCTCCCCCAATCCCTCAGTATGATGGTTCTACTTTTTCTTGTGAAGTTAATAGGAACAAAGAACCTAGGGATGATGGCCTGAAAGAGATCAAAGATATGCTAAGGTATGCTAAGGTGCCTTGTGGAAAATAATGAAGAACCCAGGGATGATGACCTGAAAGAGATCAAGGATATGCTAAGGTGCCTTGTGAAAAAAAATGACTAGAAACAACTGCAGATAGAAAGGCAAGACACAACTATTCTCAACTTGGAAGCTCAAGTGAGACAACTGGTTGAAGCTTTTAATGCTCGACAAGCCAATATTATAGATAGTAGCCAAAAAGAGCGTGAATTAGATGCAGAAATTAAGGTGCTAATGGAGGAGATCAGAGTAGAACACTAACAATCTATCCAACTAGAATTTGAGGATGCTGATATTGAAGAAGTAATACTAAAGTCAGCCAAGGACATTGATGATACAAATTTTGTTGACTATAGTGTGATTGATGTTGAGGATGCCGAAAATCTGAAAGTTTAGGTATTTGAGCGTGTTAGACCTCATTCCAAACACTTCTCTACCTTGTGTTCGGGTGGTGAAATGAGAATTGATCCTTATGAGCATAAAAAGGAGTCAAGGGAAGAGGTAGATTTAAAGATAGTAGAAAAACAAAAAATGGGCTCATTAACAGCTAGTGGTGACAAAATAGATTAAAGAATATTTATCCATCCATATTATCCACTTTTAAAAACAACTCAAATATGGATAAGAACTATATTATCCACTTAAAAAATGAATAACTAATGAGTTTAACTTTTACATTTATAAAAACTCAAATTGGGGGTCCTTAAGTATGGGAAACTAAAAATTCTCCCTAAAGTGATCCATATTATCCACTGGTTAACCCATTTTCGTATTAAATATGGATCGGGTCGGATAATTTATCCGTTTTCGTGTTACCCGTTTTCGACTCACCCATATCCTACCTAACCCATCCGTTTGCCACCCCTATTAACAACTAATAAAAATGGGCTCATTAATATAGAAGAACATGGATACATATCATGATCAGTTTGAATGTAACTAAAATCTAGGAAATGATTGGATCATGTTAATCTGTAATCCTTTATCATTATCCTTTATCAATTAACAGCTAAAAGGTATACCCATGAAGTTGACTATATATAAAGCGTTCAAACAAGACTATCCAGAAGATGACGAACCTGGATATATAGTACAAAATTTTGAATGCCCAGAAACTAGTACAAAATACAATATATTGCATCTTCTTCTTGGTTCTGAATAATATGAACATCCTCAACTTTCTGCCTAACTGCAAAAAATGCCTCTACTAAAAGAATATTACAAGGAGTTATTAGCACCCTATGACACAACAGAATGGTCAATTATCTAGCCTCCAATTATGCCCCTCAGCAATCAACAACTGCAAACTGAAAGAATTAAGGGAAACAGCCCTAACTCTAACAAAAAAGGGCCTGAATTGTCTGCTTCTCTCTTGTAGTGTTTGTTCACACCAGTATGTGAAGCACCATTAGATTAGTAGGGACCCATGGGTGGCATACCAAATGGAGGCATGGGAGGCATTCCCATTCCACCCATTGGAGGTGGTGGTGGTGGAGCAAAGCCTCCTCCCATACCTGCACCTCCCATACCCGGTGGAGCAGGCAAAGCCAGGGGCAGCAGCTGAGCATACATATTCTGCAACCAAAATGAGAATAAGGTTAGCAATGGCTTATTTACAACATGATGTTGCACTTATCAAAAGCTTTAGCAATGTTGGTTATGTTCCAGACCATAAAGCAATAAACTAGCAATTGCTTGCTATATAGATTACACAATGAATACCTGCTGCTTCATAACGTCCTTCTCTTCATTCTCTTTGGCTTTTGCTTCATTTTGAGCCTCAATTTTATCTTTTATTAGCTCATCAACCTTGCCAGTGTATTCGCGAATAAACTGCAAAAGAGACAGAGAGAGAGAGCTCCAAATCAGAAACTAGTTGCAGGTTACACTAGATATCAACAAGCAATAGAAAATCAGAAAACTGAAGCAGACAGCAAAAACGATTACCACAAATGATATAAGCTAGGACATAATAATGATATGACATGCGAGGCGTCTTTATATTTCTGATATTTTCCCACATCATAGTGAACGACTATAAACAGGAAATAATCAGGAATAGAGCTCCAGAAGAGATGCATAAGAATATCATGTGAAACAGACCCAAGGGAAACACAAACCCCTTTTTTTTTACAAGTACAGATTGTTTTTTCCAGAGTGAACCAGACATCCTTGTGGCCCTGGCAAGGATAGCCTGCAAGGATGCACTAGCATACACATCCATCAGAGGACAATGAATGGATAAGAATTTTCTCCTTGAAAGAATATAAGCAAGCACGCACATATACACAGGCTTAGGACAGGGAGTCAGTGCGTAACCTGTAACAGGTACGGGAATGCAAAGTCGATCATATTATTCATCCACGCAAGCTCAAGGGCAACATCCGGGCGAATCAAATCATAACAAACAAACAGGCACGATGCAAAGCATTCTTTCTTCCCCTGCAAGAGCATATAACAAGAATTTGAAGCTTGAACCCACTTTCCATCAATTTTGTATAATATTTAAAGTTAAACAAATAACCAAAACTCACAATTTTCAGACATCAGTTATTACAAGTTAGAGATGCATTAACCAATGCAAAAATAAATGCTTTCCAAGTTACGCATAGACTTTTCCAGACCAGAAATATCACTTCCAAGTAAAATATGACCAATTCTCCTGAGTATTTCCCGAGCAATAAATACATTATGCATCTGGCACTCCCAAATTTATCTCTACTACCATGAGCTGATTCTTTCATGTTCTAAGAAATTTTCTTTTTGACGAATTGGTTGGAGTTCTTTGATGTCCTCCAACACTATATACAATTGAAACCCCAAATATGTCAAGATCATCTTCGCCAGCAATACTATTAACTTTTTCCATTTTCTGTATTCTCACTTACCCTTTTCTGTTGGTTTGTTTTTGTCTGTGTGTGTGTGTATGGTTGGGTTGTGGTTGGGGGGGGGGGGGGGGGGGGTGTGAGTATGGATGATTTTTGAAACCACAGTTACCTGTTCAATGAAATAAACAAGCAACTCTTCAGCAAGTTCACGATCCCCGGATTGTGAGGCAGTCTCCATTGCATCTTTGTAAAGATTATCTTTCTTCGACAAAGCAATAGATTGCTTCCATCGACCAGCCCTTTTATAGATATAAGCAGCAACCCGCCTCATCTCAAGAAGCTCATGTTTCTCAATCTGCTCACTCAGCCAAAGAGAAGTGGAATTATTATCAGATATCTGATAGATACAATGGAAGGCAACTTGGTGAAACTATCCTTTACCTTCTGCGCAAGGCCAATCTGGTCAAAGTTATCATGCAAATCAACTGATTCACGTAATCTATCATAGTCTTCTTCTTCAACATAAATCTCATTAAGGGCCTCGTTTACAGCAGAAACATTGTTACTTTGAACAGCAATCATATAAGGCTTCACTAGGCGAAGATGACCAGCCTGTTATCCATCAAAACAGAAAAAGATAAAAGGAGAAAAGGAGGGGTTAACATCAAACAATCTAATCCAACAATCCTTGTAAGTAAATAAGGGTTCTAGGAAAAGTAAGACCTTTCTCATTATGTCGACTACACGGGTGTGGTCCACTCTAAGTGCAAGAACATTTAAAAGATCATTGATAAGATCAGGGTGCTCTTGCAAATAGAAATGGACGGCCTTGTAATAAAGCTCCACATTAGCAACTTTGACAACAATATCTTTGAACTGCATATGATCCCAAGCATCCGGAGAATGATTCATGACAGTAGTGGCAGCATTGTCAAATTCATCATATTGGATATACAAATATGTAAGTTCTTTCCAGTGTTGCTGCTCATCACAGGCACGGATAAGCTTGGGAATGTTGAGACGGGTGGAAAATAACTTAATGTGTTCCATGAGCTTCTCGTAACGGTATCTGGCATAAAGGACGCCAAGTTCTGTGAAAATACCCATATGGGCACGCTCCAAACCCAGCCCACTCTCCATAAGGGAGATCAATTCATTGAAACATCCTCTGTTTTGGTAATATTCACTCACTTCCTCCAGATCATCCACCTGCCAAAGCAAAAGCAGATACAACCTTTCAACAGTATTCCAGGTAATCCCAATGCAATTTAAATAAGAATGTTGACACAGAAAGGATCCCTGGTAACTAATGAAACACAATGCTAAGTTACCTGTACGATAATGTTAAGCCCACAAATCTGAGCTAAGCGGAACTCTTCAGCGTCAACACAAGCAAAGCAGACTTCTTTCCACGTTTTTGCACTACTTGCTTTACGTGCTGCATCAACAGCACCTTGGAACTGATTTAGCTTCACAAGTGTACTAGCCAACTTGGCCCAGTTAGAAATAAAAGCAAAAATGATCTTTGCAGCCTCATATAAGGCTTCATCATACAACCGGTCACCAACATTCGGTAGATTAGCAACATTTGGCATGAGAATGAACTCTTCAATGTCGCTCAATCGATCTATTTTAGCATATGCATAGATTAGTTCACTGTCAACCTTGGGCTCTTTTGACTTCTGTCTTACCATCAGCAGATACTTCACCAAATCATGGTAAACATCTGCATCCTCTGCAGCACGAATAACATCCAAAAATTGGGTGGTATCATCTGCACGAATAAACGACTCAATAGCATCACTGATTAATCCTTCTCTCAGTTGAGCTTTAGCCACTTGGCTCCAAACAGCATCTTCTTCAACTCGGAAGGCAAACTCCACAGCCCGATTTATATTGCGGATATTATCTAGCAGAACACTGACAGCCTGGACATTCAAATTGAACTTCTTGAAGATTGCAAATGCTTCTTCATAAAGTTGGGCTTCTACAGCTACCTCCCCTACTGCAGGTCCATCAAAATTATCAAGCCTGTTGATATAGTCCATAACCCTTGAAGGGTCAGCTTTAATGGCTGTCAAGATAAGCAAGTTTTGCAGATTAAAGTTCCCACTGAATGCAGAGTTTTGGAGCACAATCTTTTCAAGAAGCTCAATCAGTTCATGCGGAAGATCAGCAGTCATGAAAGCTTTAACAGCAGCAGAAACTTGTTCTGGGCTTTTGCTCTCAGACAGAGCAGTGGAGACAACTTGATCAATAAGCTGCCTTCTGAACTCGTTTTCAGGGTTAAGAACCTTCTCCCAAAGTTCAGCATCCATTCTCTCAACGACATACCTAAAAAGATTAGGACAATTTGGTTTGTTCTCCTCTAGACATCTGACAAATCAGCAGTTATAGAACAACTAACTACAGGAATAACAAACCTGGCTTGCAGTTTGAACAAAGAGTTCTTGTTTGTTACATTGATAAGTTCATCATCACAGTTCCCTCTCCGATATGCAACAACAGCAAGGGTAGGATCGCGCTTCTCACAATATTTACCCACAACACGTGAATCATAATATGGATTGGTCGTCAGGAAGTGCTCCGGGTTATTGTTGCTATCTATGATGATCTTACCCAGAGCATTGTGTACATGCACATCTTGGCTTCCTTCACTCACAAGATGCTCCAAAAACTGAGTAAGCAGTCGGAGGCGGTTCCTGACAACCAAGAGCAAAAGCTTAACATGCTATAGTTTACCGGGACCAACTTTAAAATAATTGTACCAGATACAAAAAAAAAAAAGGAAAAAAAAAAAAGAACCTCTTTTCACATTCATCCACAAGGGGCTCAACAGGAAGCAGAGAACGAACGGAAAGGATCAAGCCTTTAATAAAATCCTCAGGACACTCATCATCCAATAACTGTCCCACAACTAAAGGAGCATTTCCTGGGTTGACCTATACAACGGCAGATTAAAGTTCGTAAGTCATATTTGCAAAAACTTCAATAAATCAAGTCGTACACAGAAATCATACTGACCTTTTGGACATAACCTTCAATGTACCGTAGCATATTGTTGGTATAGAGGTAGTGTGTGAGATCAGGAACAAAACCAAAGCGGTCACAAACATTAATAAGAGGCCGAGCATCGGGAAGTTTGGCTTCCATCAAGAAGTTCTTCGTCTTTTCAGGGTCATAGAAGTTTGATTCTCTTGTGACGCGCTCAACCTCCTTGATTTGTCCAGTCCTGGCAGCTGCCTCAATATATTTGAAGTGAATATCAGGATCCTCACTGCAGGAAATAAAAAATGAGTGGTTGACCAAGCCAGCCAAAATATCAAAACAAGTGATTGATAAAAGTTATCAAAATGTCAAGATGTCCTCTCCATGAATACATACCTGGAACTCAAATATGATCCCAAGAAGAAGTACAACCCATCATAAGACTTGAACTGCTCAAAAAGCTTTATGCAGGCATCAATACCCAACTGCTCACAATACTCTTTTGCAACCTGCAATAACACAAAGCATAATCAGATATGTTGCTATGGGTATTGTTTGTAACAAATTTAGGCAGAAAAATAAAACTGCAATCACAAACAACTATAAAGAAAAAAAGGACTTTATTGATAAATATTGCGAGTTACAACTCTATTTATCCCCTGATTCTTCCACCGGATTGTTCTTCGCAATTCGAGGGCTGGATCAGGATATTCTCGAACGTACGATAATGCGGACCTTTGAATTATTTGATCTCCATGAAAGTCGATCATTGTGTGGATGTTCTTCTTGAAGTATTTGATTATCAAGAAGAACATCTATAGATCACGACATTATTCTATGCCTTGACCCCTTAGTGAATATCCCGAGAATTTATAGGATTTTCTGAGATGACCTCAACTTGCAAGATGCATTCAATACGTAACCCTTTTTATAGGAGCAACCTAGGGTTAGAGTAGAGTAGCCTCCAAGTTAAAGTTTTTGTGAGTAGCCTCCAAGCAACCCTAATAGACTCCTAGAATTGCAAGAGTCTTCTCGATATCTTGAATTTAGGATTTTGCTTGATCCGTTAATATTTCGATGTCTACAAGTATGTTACACAGCCCAAAAAATAACAATTTCATATAATGTAAAAACAAGCTCTGATCGCATGATTCAGGAATCTCTAATTTAATTCCAGTACACAGACTTCGGTGCAAAAACATATAACAAACCAAAATGAGCACCTGAACAATTATTTGAAGGTTGCCTTTGATATTGATCACTAGGAGGTCTTTCATGCACTCAAGAGCCCATTCACGCGAAAGAGTCCCAAAGAACTCAACCAGAGCCTGAGACAAACAATATAGTTAAGTAAAAGTCCACTCTCTCCAAAGAATAAGTCAATGCAATCTATAGAGCATAAAAACCTGAGGCTCAATGGCATGTGTGTTCACAATGACACGCTTGATATCAGGGAGCTCAGAATAGTGCTGCAGAAATAATACACCAATTAACCAACTTGCAGTCAGATGAAAGTAAAGGCAAATGCTGAAAACCATTCAACCTGCAGAGCCCGGACGTAAAGACCAGCTTTTTCACAAAGTTGAGCAATTCGAGATCGATCATAGTGACTGAACATTCCATTTGCTAATATAGCATCTGCTACATTGGGGAAAGTCACAAGATTGATTTCCAATACCTGTGCAGTGGAGACATTAAAATCTAAACAAAATGCAAAAACAGCAAGATGTCCTACAGAAGAGAAAAGAAACCTTAGTCTGCAAAAAACCATGTTCTGGAAGGTTAGGTTTCAGAACATCCAACAAAAATGCTGTTGCCTCGCGGATCAAGTTCCTCTGATGACAAGAAGAAAAAAAAGAATCCTCATCAGCTATATGTTGCACCCAGTAGAAAATGGTAAAAAACTTCTAAAACACCTAGTTTAAAGCCCATAACAGGGAGAAGATTGCAATGAACTATGTCAGCATGACAGAAAACAAGCATTTTGACATCATTAAGAAGCCAATTAACCTGGAGAAAAAGGTCAGTGATTGTATTATAATCAACTGGACATCCTCCCTCCATTTGGGACATCATGAGTGCAAAGTTAACAGCTCCCTGCATATACAGCCACAATTATTCAAATTAATCCACCAACAAAGCACCATCTGGAGAAGTTGTTTTGATTTTTGCTTCAAGAAAGAAGCATTTTTACCAACATGAGAGCAGAATATCAAAGAGATGTCTAAGGATGAAAACAATCAAAGCAATTGTTTTCTCCATAAATTATGGGCAGGTGAAATCCGAAACTGTCTAAGATTCAAAACTATTGACTTCCAAATGATGGGAAAACTATGTAATCGCATGAAGCTCGCAGAGAAAGATGGGAAATTGACAATTTATGAATTTTGATAATCCACTCTCTACATACCTGAGGATCAGATCGAAGAATTGTTTGCAGGAGGAACAGATAGTCAGGTGTATATCCAACCTATATCAACAAACAACTTTTCTAATTACCAACCTCAAATACATTTCATAGAAACGCTTGGACTGCGTAAAACATACATGGCAGCTCAGGCCAAATAAAATTTTTTACGTGATGACGTCAGCAAAAATGCTTCACTAACCTGTTTGGAATATATCAGAATCTTGTCAAACTCCCTGCGCTCCGCAAAAGCAGCGACAACTTTTGGAGTTGCTCTTGCTTTGATGTATATCTTCAAGGCAAGGTCATTATCAACAGTCTACATAAAAAAGTTTGCAGCTGCTGTCAGCACCTTAGGCTATGTAAAAGAGAGAATCGATTGAAGTGGTGAACAGAAAAACACTAGTTATGTTGAATTCTTGTTGAATTCAAAGTTTAACCTTCACAAGGTCACCAAGATCCTCACTGCACTCCAACTTATCCTCAGCTAACCAGTTCTCCAAAAGGTTCTTCTTATTTTGGTTGACAACAAGGCGTGACAGTTCTAATGACTCAAAAGCATTGAGCTTCCCTTTTGTCAAAAGTGTCCCAAAGTACTGCAAAAGAGGAGGTGTTTGCCCTGGTTGAACAGGAACACTCTGCAACAAGACGAAAGGACACATAAATACAATGTGCATAATTTGCACGATAAGTTGAGGAACAATCAGTTTATTCTTGAAACTAGACCTTGATGAGCAACAAAAAATGAGAGGGAACAAAATCATTACCTGAAATTTGGCAACAGTATCAGGCGTCCGGAGTATGCCCTGAGGTGATTCAGCAGCAAGCTCAGCAGCCTCTTTGTACTTGGTTTGAGCAAACAACTCTTGAAAGCGCTGGACGACCTGAGACAGAAATAAATAGATGTAAGACCATTATAAGAAACAGACAGCAACAAAATTCCCCCATGTTGATTCCATCAGAGTCAACAACTTCTGACAAGATTGTCAACTGCTGACTGCTGATAACAAAAAGGGATTAGCCTCGTCAAATCTAGTCCTAGTAGATGATGCAATGACAATCTATTTTAGTACTTCTCAATTTAGAGAAGGAAGAGTTTCAAGAACAAAAACCAAGCTGTAGAATGAACTAGTTAACAGCGTTAGAGAGTTCCACAGGCAAGAGATCCCGTACACCTAAAGAAAAGGGCAGAATGCCCTCCCATCGCAAAATCATTTCAGAACAATGATATATCGAGAATAATATATCCACTTACCAAATTCTCAGCACCTGGAAGGTTTCCTCTTTTAGCAAGATTGACAGCAAGCTCCAGATTGTTCAACTGTAACATGTGTAAGAATTTGACAGATTACGGGATTCATCCTCAATTTACACTTCCAGAAACAAAATTGTGACAAAATGTGTAGTCGCAGAATGCAAAGAAAATAACCGTACTTGGCCACTGATAAAAGGTATAATAGTTGTTTCATTTACTGTGGCTAGCAACACTTGGCCTCGCCTGTTGACGGCATAAAACCCACCAACTGACGAAGCTTCAGCTGTCAGGAAAATAGGGTCTGGGCTAATCCTATTTCTGTAAACTGCAGTAGCTGTTTCCAGGTCATAGACAAAAAGAAGCCCAAGCTTTGTGATGACAAAAATTAAACTATACTTATGAGATATCTGCGAAAGAAACGGATAACTGTGTCACAAAAAAACTGAACTTAAAATACAAAAACACAAGACAAAGCGACAGACCCCAGAAAGGGAAGGCAACTGATACCTGCATGGCAACTGGGAAATCATCAGCAAAATCTGGAGGGAAGAAAAGATCCGCCTGTTTTTTTGTAAATGAGGGTTTCCCTGCAAACATTTATCACATTAAAAAAAGGACGAAGTTATATCAGGCAATTCTCACCACAATGTTAGTAATAACTTTCAAGGTTAAGAAAGTGGCGAAAGGAAAATAGGACACGGCATATTAACCTGGCTGGGCTCCCAGCTCAATGACATGCAACTTTGATACAACCTGTCCAGCATTCAAGCTTCTCGTGGCAAAAGAAATGAGTATGGAATCCCTATCACTTCCAGGTACCTGATTAAAGCACACAACGGTCACAACAGGAAAACAAGGAAGCAATGCCAGGAAAACAATTAGCAAATTGTATGGAGGAGCTTTTCTCACTCTGAATGATGCAAATGATGCAGCGTGAGCCTCGAGGGATTGACTCCGTTGCTGATCAACTGAAAATAGTTGCATATTTCCTTTGACCAGTTGGGGCCTCTAATGATATGGAGGAAAATGGTAAAGTCAAATGACGAAAGAGCATCTCCTTTGTACACTGAATTGGAGAAATCATCAAAACAGTAATGTCTACACCTAGAACACATTTCAATGAAAGTTTAAAAAGCCAGTTGTCTGAGCTTTAAATTGGTGTGGAATAAACCTTGTTAATATCATAATTTGCAGCCATTCATCAACATCGTCTAGTGCATATAACAGATGGGCCACCTTTGGCCGGGTTGCTGCAGCTGAAAGCATCCAACGTTCAGGCAACAAAAGTACTGTGTAATACCAGTACTATGGCCAAGGCACTAACATGCAAGTTTCCTTTTCGTACAATACCGTAATAGAGATTGAGAATGACATACAATCAGCAAGTTATAAAACAAAAAAGAATTAGGGTAGATGGAGCAACGCAGAAACATTACATAATGAAATGATTGAGAAAAAGTAACACAACATTAAAGCCTCATATGACCTTTCCTGGCTTTTCCCTCGCTGATTATACTTTGGGAAGGGGTTAGATGATAAAAACAAAGTCTGCTATCAAAATAAAACATCAAAACTATCATTATCAGTGCAGGTTAACAACATTACACACCTCCGGTGAACCTGGGGCAATACCAATCAAAACCAACCATTTCTCTGAAGGATCACAACGATAATTGATTATTTGGTTATTGGCTAGGTTGGCTGTTCTATCAAACATCTTTACAGGCTCAGTATCACCTGATAAAGACAATACAGACATCTTAAAGACAGAACACCAACCATCATTCCAAAAAGAATGGCCAGAAAAAGTAATGAACACAAAATTAGACAAGTATCCACTCAAACAAGTGGAATAAAAATTGGTAAACATTATCAGTAGAAAAGGGAACTGTCTCACCTTCAATTGGCCAATGATAGACTGAGGTTTGTGTGACAATTCCTAAAATCTTCGGAGTAATCCACTTCCAGAAAACAACCTAAACATAACACGCAATGAGAGTTATATCAACACTATCAAAATCCTCAAAAAACGCAACAAACTAATATTAAATAATAAAAAGAATTCATGGGGATATTTATTACCTGCTCGGGCATCTGATGTGACTTCATTTTCTGCTTTGCCTCAATATTAAAAATTTGTAAGTGATCTTGAGTAGTTCCTGGTACTTGAGCTTCAAGAGGAGAAAGAAGACAGAATTGCTTCATCAGGAAACGTATTTTAACGAAATCCAAAGTGGAAGAGCTGTCCCATCAGCTTATAATTTCCTCTTTGCCACTTATAAGACGTATATGGATGAAGGAAAACAAGACCCCCAGTAATTCAATGATTCGCCATTGAATTAAAAAATTCTTTGAAGAAAACAACAACAAAAATCCACTAACCCTTTAAAAGTAACGTGGTAAAAGTGATTTGTCCAAACTACAGCGGATTGGTCCTCATTTAGAAGTCAATGTACCCAGAGCACCATTAGACAGGATATATGAAGATTTTATGAACATTCAATTCAAAGATCTCGGTGTTCTACTCAAGCTAACAACTGCAATAGCCACTATCATATTGACTTTGTCTCGACTTAAATGCAGTCAGAGGCGGATACACGATTTGAAGTTTATGAGTATTGGATTCTTGCCCTTTTGAGTTAATGGGTTCTTAATTAATAATGTGTACATATTAAGGATTCGGGCCAAAGCTACTGGGTTCAGCTGAATCCATACCGTCAACTCTACATCTGCCTCTGAATGCAGTAGTCATCAGAGACCTAAACATATTCCACACTCGCACTGTTTCCTCTAGATGTTAAGCCGTGTTATCAAAGGCGCGCTTAAAGCACGCTTAAGCCCTGAAGCGAGGCTTAAAACATGTTGAGCGTTTCACCTCGCTTAGCAGGCACTTCAGTGTTGTCATCAAGGCTCTAAGGTATACTTTTCCTTGCCAATGAGCGTAATACTGAAGAGGCGATGCTAAACACTTGATATTCCACTTTATCGTAAAAAAAATTCAATTTCATTGTCCATATATTTGGTATTCATGCTTATAGATATTAACCTTGGACTACACATACATATTTGTAGTTTTTCTCCCGTTCTTCATTAAAGCTCATGCTTTATTTGCGCTTAGTGCCTAAACATTCCTTAGAGCTTTTTTGCGCTTTTCGCCTTTGATAACACTGATAATAAGAATCAAAGACATCACTGATAATAAGAATCAAAGACATTTAGCAGATAAAACTTCATCTATACACGTTAAATTATACTGTTTGACTTTATTACAGAAGCTTCAAATTCTTTCACATTGATAATAAAAAGTGAATAAAAGTTCGACTTATCCATTTTTAAGTATGAATAACCAAACAAACTGCCATCAGCTAATTCGTATAGCATCAGCAATTCAAGCATCCCAACTGCAAGCAAATCAATTACTCTAGCCAATGATAGAACGAACATTCAGTAAGTAATCTAAAAGTTTCCTCAGCAAAGATACAATTATACCTTTTAGAGCCAAAATTCTGGAATTGGGATTCATAAGAGCAGAGTCAGCAGTAATAGGGCGGCGCAAAGGCTGCATTGGCATATTCATATCAACAATCACCACACTACTTTGTGGTGCCGTCTCTCGAACACATATATACTTGTCTGATTCCATGGTAACATTTGTGAATGTAATGAACTGCGGGTTCACCCCTATACTTGACAACTGCAACACCAAGTCATATAATAACCAAATTTCAATCCAATCTTTACATAGCAAATTCAACATAATGTCATAATTTAGGTCGCAGATCTGACAATTAACTAAATACCAGAGACTAAAAGAGTAGATACAATTATTGAAAAATGCGAGGAAGAGAAATTAGAATTGATTACTGTAAGGGCCTCTTTCATAGTGATCGGAGCATTAGCAGCCGCCATGATGGAGATCAGCGAGACTAAGGAATGGGCCGATTTGGTACAAGGGAGAGGAGATCTTAAGTAAAGAAACCCGGGAACCCTCCGAGACGAAACATACAAGGGAGAAGGAGATCCAGAGAGAGAGAATACAGAGGGGTAGAGGGTTCTTCAAATCGAAAATACGTTGGTGAAGCACTGGCCTTCTGTATTGTAGTTAAACTAATGTTCAACGATGGGGAAGGTGGAATTCTGGGTAGCCGAGAAATGAATTGTTGAATTCTAACTAGAGTATGTCCCTGTCTGTGCATCTATGAAAAATAAAATAAAATATCTGAAATTAATGAAAAGACGTTACGTGTTACTACTATGTAGTATAAACACTAGTCCCCCATAGGAGTAGTAGGCATATATAGCAGTGATCGAAAAATTAAAACGAACAATCTTGCAGATTAAGGTTCCGAAAAATTAAAACCAACAATCTTGCAGATTAAGGTTCCAATTTCAACACTAAACACTCTGTTAATTGTTTTTCTTAGTACCATTTTAAAATGTATTATTTTGTAGTATTATATAATACTTTCTGTTATAAATAGAATTGTATTTATGGTGAATGTCTATATCTAGAGAGATTCTAGGGTTCATTGCTTGGTGGCTAAGTCACTCTCTCCCTATAAATAGAGGGTTCATAGCGTTCTAGTATTTTACTTTATTTTTCTCTTTTAAATTCTTGAAATTCTATAATTTGATTTTATATACAAGCAAAGACAACAAAGTTTGATTATAACTCTAATGGAGTTTGTAAGAAATTATAACCACCTGAAGTGGTAAAATTTCTATGCCTCGCCATGATCAAATATGTATGATTGTGGGCAAAGAATTGAAAATCCGTCCCATTGAATTTGCTCCATTCTCATTCCCTTAAGAGAATGTGATAGCAGTATGTGATAAGTCTGAAAGAAGACAAAATTATTACTATGAATGTATCAATGGATATGGACGTGGCAATAGACGAAATTATAATCGTCATCATTTGTGGTAATGAGAACAATAAGGATTCTCAAAATAATCTTTCGCTCTGTGAAAAATATTTGTCATCGATTTGACATGAGATTTGGTAAAGCACATATAGATGATTATGGTCCATTCATGATGTGAATGTGACAACATCTGATTTATGAATACATATTCATTCTTCAAAGAATATGAACGTGCTAGTGGTAGTGAATATACCGCACTCACCTCTAAAAGGAGGTTTGAGATGATATAAGAAAATAATGTCATTATTATGGCATGAATGGTCATTGGTCACGTACCTATTGTACGCCAAAATATTTTGGCATTGTGATTGTTAAAAGACAACGGTAATGCAAGAAACAGATCTTGCATATAATTTTGACCATAACCATAATGGTATAACTTTCTCTTTAAAAGAGATATTCACCATATGGGTGTTGATGAATATGTGGTACTACAAAATTAATTGAGAACTCTGCAAGAGCCAATTATACTATTTTGGAGAAACACAATTAATTACCAATAAGGTATTGTGTTGTAGTAAGTCTCAAAGAAACTTATTCAGTTTCCAAAGTATACGCGAAAGCGGTTGATTATATTGAGACTATAAATAAAGGAAAGATTTAATATCTTCTATTACTACAACTTGTAGCGGGGTAATATGTATGTGAAAAGCTACCCGCTTTATTCTCCAGTTTGTACTACACAAATAAAAGAATACCACAATAAAGTGGATGTTTATTGATATAAAAACCCATATCATAATAAACTTGGAGTTTATTGATAATTGCACACGTCATGGTGTAAATCTGAAGTTTATCAATATTGATAATTTATTCAGTTGGCATAATTGGTTTACCCATATCAATTTAAGTATGATGTGCAAAAATAAAAGAGAATTCACATGGGTAAATATTAAAGAACTAGAAAGTTCTTTACGAATTCTCTTACATTGCTTGTTCTCATTAATTAATAGACCAACTAAAATTGGGATTGAATCCCATGAATGCTGGAAATATCAAAGGTGAATATGGGCCCATTCACCTGCCATGTATACCACATAAGATGCATCTATGAGATGGTTACATGTGCGATTATTAATAACCCGCAACATGGTGTTTTGCGAGGTAACTTGCTCAATAATTTAATTTCGAGCATAATTTCCAGATTTTCTATTCAAGAAGTTCATCTTGATAAGTTGGTTTACATCACAGTTGGTTTAGCAAAATGATTTATTGAGTGCCTCCACTTAATAGCTAAACAATTGCTTATGAGAACAAAGTTATCTATATCAGTTTGATATACGTTATATACGAAAGTATATTATTTTCTCCCCTCACAAGTGGTTCAGGGTCAGGAACCAAATAATTCCATCTTATTATTATTGATGTGCGGTGTATATTTTGATTAACACCATAACGCACAAAGATGGGTTCTCAAAGTTGAGGAAACAAGTTAGTTTTTCTAACATGAGGGGGAGACAAGATACAACAGTTGAGAAAAAGTTACATGGAATGAATTATCATTTATACATCTAGATCCTCGAATAAAATAATATGAACTTGAAGTTCATAAAAGGATAATTCATGTGCAATATATTGCAAAGCATGCCAGACGCATTTGCTGACCCAAAGAAAGTAACTATATTCTCATTGCAAATGCTCCTATTAGAATAAGTCCTAGAAGGACAAAGTCTATAGTACGCTTAAAGCATATAGACAAATCGGTTTCAAATAAACTTCTTGATAAAGAAGATGAGCAAATGATCAAAATGATCATAATAAAGGAGGCAAGTGATCTAGAAGATCACATGACATAACACTTCATAAAATCTCAAGAGAGATTCAGGTACCTGAAAATATGAATGAAGAGATCTCTATGTTATGTCTTTATGAAAAAATATTGAAACTGATATAAAATGTTTGTCGACGACATCTATGATAGCGCTATATATATATATATATATATATATATATATATATATATATATATATATATATATATATATATGAGGATCTTAAGTATGAAGAAACAATTCAAATAGAATGGTTTCATATGAAAGCCATGTAGTTTTGAACATGTAGTTCAAACACTTGAAAGTATAAGTCAATGGTATGTGCATCCATTTTTCGATATCTTATATGTCTAGCATGACATGAAAACTTGATATGCATCTAAAGTCTATTATATGGCTTATATGACAATCCATGAAGGATTTAA